AAAACTAAATGTTAATTGCCTGTTTGCCTTTTTTTTTACTAAAATAGGAATATTCCAATTGTACATTGTAACTGTTTGCCTTTTTTTTACTAAAATAGGAAAGTTATGTTGCCTTTTTTTATTATATTCCAATTTGCTTTTAATCAAATGCGAAACTATAAATTAAATAAACGGAATATTTGCAAGAAAATATCGAATTAAATTATGGCAAAGATTACGAGGCAAAGGTAATAACATACGGTATAATTATGACTACATATTGCTTGCGTTGAGTAAATATTTTCCCGCGCGAAAAACTGTCAAAACTGTTTGAGCATCGACCATTTTATGGAAGCTTGCACAGTAGCTGTTTACGTACAAAAACGTTGGATTCAATTTATTATAGAACCCAACCGTTGGGCTCAATATTAAATTGAACCCAAGACCCAACGGCAACAGTGTAGGTATAAGTCACGTCCAACTTCTAGAGCAAAACCTCTTGGATATAATCTGCATGCAAATAGTCAATTAACATTAATCATTGATGTAGTAGTTGTATACCTACAATTAACGAAACATAGGTATACCTACTTAGTTAATCATTTGGTTAACATATTAAATTATTCATCTAAGTATTTTTTTTGTCTCGAAAATACCGGGAATATGCTTTACTTTTATCCATAAAAGTTAGGATTCGGAACTCGAATGTTCAATATTAACTTTTGTGGCATGGATAGACATACCTAAGGGCTATACTACACGGACGGTTCTCCCGCCGCGGGAATCCGCTTAACAAAGCTGCCGCAGACCATCAAACTACACGGGATGCGGTTTATCGCTGTCTTTTATTCATTTCAACATGGATCCGCCAATGATAACTGGGCTCGCAGATAATATATCAATAGAATTATTAAACAGTAAAGTAAAACGGAATGCTTGGATGGAACCAGTGTTAAGTAATCGTTTAACTTCGGGAATATTTCATTTAAGCAAGTCGATCTTGTATTGCAACAATAAAACGCTCCATATCTAACATTTTAACGCGAAAGAGCCACGCAAGAGCACGCACGACAAGCGAGCGCCCTCGCAAAACGTCCCGCACAGAATGACGCAATAACGGGAAACCGCTCGTGTAGTTTAAAGCGCCGGTTATCAGCGGCGGTTTGACGCTGCATGCAGCAGTCGTATTCCTCCCATATTTAATTGTGTCTAGTGCGGTTCAGAAGCGGATTCCCGCCGCGGGAGAACCGCCCGTGTAGTATAGCCCTTAATGAATTTACTAGGCAATACAACAAAGAAATTGACTATGGTCTACTGGAAAGAGGGGAATTGATCGTGATGCCATTATTTTTTCTTTTTAATTTTTTAATGATTCTATTGACACGGTATGGCAAAGCATTTTTCAACTTTTGTATTAAGTAGCTTGCCCAGTTTATTTTTTAAGATATGAGTCCTTAAGAAAAAACAAATACTATTTTACGAAAAATTATCTACCTCATTACAAAACGTTGATTAAAGTTAAAGCAGGTTTAAAATGATGTTTTCCCTTTGTTTGCTAATAAGAAGACAGAAACTGCATTAGGTTTAAACCAAGATTAACTTTAGTCCACGATTTGTAGTAAGGTGCATAATCATTAAACCACGACTAACTTTAAAATAATTTAAACTTTCATGGTCACTGACATTATATTAATATAAGTTATTTACGGGATTGTTATCATGTACCTCGTTTTTAGCTAATTTCCGATATTTCGGCGCTGTTGCAAGCCCCATGATCACGGAGTAACTCTGTTAGTTACTAGCTAAAAACAAGGTACATGGTAACAATCCCTTAAATAATTTATATTACTATAATGACTAACTTTAGCCTGCGTTTTGGAATAAGGTGCTATGAGCCGAGCGAACTCTTTGTTTTATGTTTAATAGGCAAGGCGTTTGACCACAATCTCGCCTGATGGAAAGCGATGAGGAGACATCGCTACACTCCTGCCTAGAAGATGCCTGTTCACTCTGGCCTTGAAGATGTCCAGATTGTATTGGTCCGGGAAAACAGACCTCGGTAAGGAGTTCCACTCCCTAGCCGTTCGCACAATGAAAGCGGAAGCAAATCGCTTCGTGCGAATGGGAGGAACTTGGAAATGAACTCCGAAATGTAACCGATAAAACACCGAGAGGCAAGCTACACGTCTTCGGTGGTCAAGGCTCTGGAGATTAGCCTCAACGAGAGCGTCATTGCCTATGAGTCTCTTCGCACGGTGTTCCACCGAGTCCAGTGCATCCAGTTGATACCGAGCAGATCCATCCCAAAGGTCACCTTTGGGTACGCCAAGCAGGAGCGAACTTGGGCTCGGTAATGGTTAAGGAGCTGCTCAGAAGTAAAATATCGCCGGACCTTAGAAAGTATTCCAAGTTTTTTGGCAGCGGTTTTAGCAATGGACTCGATGTAGCGACCGAAGTTGAGGCTGGATGAGATGTCCAAACCTCGAGTTGGTCTTTAACCGGCAGAGCTCGAGTTGGTCTTTAACCGGCACGGAGACATTTCGGAAAGACGGAGTCAGATGGAATGGACTCCGTTTCGCCAAGAAGAACCAGGCCTGTGTTTTAGATGGATTGAATATAACCAAGTTGGCTTCACCCCAGAGGGAAACAGCTTCCAGGGTTGCAGACACTCCCTCCACCATCGCCTCCCTTAAAGATCGGACATCTGCATCAGACTTTATTACATCAGGCAGATATCTCTCAGAGACTGTGCTGTCGTCTACATACCCAAAGATACCGGGAGTTAGGAGCAGACCATTGATGTGCAGCAGAACAGAGTTGCGGAGAGGACAGATCCTTGGAGGACACCGGCATTAATACCAAACAGATCCGAGGATGTGCCATTAATTACCACTCGTATCGATCTGCCCCCCAGAAAATCTGTAATCCAGTTGCAGAGTTCGACAGCGATTCCATACGAAGGAAGCTTGCCAATGAGACTTGCATGACAGACCCTGTCAAAAGCCTTAGAGATATCAAGAGAAACGGTGAGAGCTTCGCCGCGTTTCTCTATGGCTTCGCTCCATAAGTGGGTAGCATACATAAGAAGATCCCCAGTAGATCGCCCACGGCGGAAACCGAATTGGCAATCACTGAGGAGATCGTTATGTTCGAGGTAAGCGAGGTGACGGTTGTTCAATATACGCTCCATAATCTTACACTTTTCTGTGTATAGTAGCATCAGCAGTAAGTAGGTACATACACCTATTCAGTGGCGGGGCAAGACCTAAATGTGATGTGGGCTAGACCGATTTAATAACATAATAAAAAAAAGAAATTAGCTTTTAAATAAGCTTTAAGTAATATAAAATTTTTTGACACGCTAGGTCCCTTGTACCGCGCGGCCTTAGGCGGTGGCCCACGTCGCCAAGGCCTTACGCCGCCTATGCACATATTTAATAGTTAATTTTTCTTCCAGTATACCTTAACAGACCACAAAAAACATAGAAGTACATATTGACTGGGAGCAGCTTTAGTTAATAAAATTCTTGCCGTGTCCAGCAACTGTATGCTAGGGGAACTCAGAGATGAAAATATAATGACATACTTAATTAGAGTCATGGATAGAATTAATAAAATAAAAAACTAATGCATATTCCCGCTTAGATAATAGGTTTTTAAAGAAATATGTTAATGTCAAAATACCTGAAATAAATAAAATACTTTGTTTTTGAATAAATTAGACACTCGATGTAGCCTGTTGGCTACTGTGATCCGAGAAGATGGAATTCAGATCCGGATCCCGCAACATCGGAGGCGTGCCGAAGGGGAAATCCTGTAAAATTAATAATACATACAAATAAATTAAACAAAATACATTACTTGTTTTACTCTTTTACTGTTACTATTTTTATAAACTCTTCTTCCGTTTCATCGTATCTCAAGTCACAACGATTCTCAAGAATTTTTCACTGTATAAAAGATCTCCTTTATACAGTATAAAAAGAAACTACGTCGAAAAAAATGGGTGCGTGTACTTATGTAGGCGCGAGAGAAGTTATCCTTCTTTGGCATCGTTTAAAATTAGTTTTTAATTGCATGCAAATAATTAATTACAATAAATTAATAAAAAGTCTGGAAAAGGACGAAGTCAATAAAGTTCAGTTTTAATTTGAAAAAATAAATAAATAATCAAAATATTCAATTAAAATCGCTACTGAATATAATTTATTAGAACATATGTGATTTGCACTTGTATGAAACTCAAACACGTATTCCGAATATACAAACTAGAAACATGTGGATAAATATTATAAATATGAATACCTATAACTGTTACTTTATTACAAAAAATAAAGATGTGGTTTTTGGTTCTACTACACCAATGGTCAAGAGATGGCGCTGTAGTCTCCTGAATCGCGCTTTGGTTCCGTTGTTCCAGATTAATAAATACTTTTGATAGGCCTTCACAATGCAGTCGTTAGCACCGACAAAATAGAGATTCTATTTCTATTTTGTTGGTAGATTTTCTTAATGTGCGGTAAACACAAAAGTAACGCATGAAGTTGGTCGCTAAAGCGACCAACTTCATTATGTTAAAATTTTGTGTTACAGTGATGCGCGCGCATCTTAAAATTTCACTCTCATAATTTTTTCATAACGCGCCTAAAGAAGTATAACTTCAAAAAATAGTATAGTGTCTAAAAACAATTTTGAATATAGCCACACTTTGCACGGGCAGTTTAAACGAGCGCTAGTTTCGAATACTCGGATGTGACGTTACAACACATCTAAACCTACAAACAAGATCAATGACCGTACAGGACACTGTCATTTTGCGTTTCATACCTTCACTGCGGATGGAAGCTACGTCAATCAAAATGACATTATGTTGAAGACAATTTTTTGTTGTTAAATGTCATAGTGAAAAGTTGCATTCGGTGCCTAGATGTGGAACGCGGCTTTGACATCTACGCACTCGCACTATAAATCTCGTTGACATTGGCCTAACCTGTGAACATCACGTTCGTTATATTTTTACGTCACAACCGCTCTTGCCGCATTTCAAAATATTTGAATTTCCCACAAGTTTTTCGCACTTTATTCCGCCCGCGTGGTGGGTCATGGCCCAATCTCTCTATTCCATCCATAGGGAAGGACTGTGCCCTAGAAGCGGGGGCATTAATAGGCTGCTGATATTGATGATGATGAACCCTATCCGTAGTATATCTCCTCACCTGCGCGTTGTGGTGCCTGGGGGCGGGGGGCGCGGGTGGCGCGGGGGGCGGGGCGCGGGGCGCGCGCGGGGACGCACACTCCGCGCACTCCGCGCCGCCCGCCGGGGCAGCGCCGCGGTTAGAACGACGAGACCACGACTCGGGCATACAGCTGTGAGGGGGAATATGGAGTTTATACTTAGATTAAAACAAAAAGGGAAGATACGGCACTCGCGGCTCAAAAGTGATCCGCTTAAATTGTGGTGCGCGATCACAATTCGCTGTAGTCACTATTATATCTTTAGTATCACTCCCATGATTAAGACGAATCGATTGACGTATCAATCATCATAATCGGTCCACGCGTTTGGTCTATAGTGTGCCACAAAGGAACATACATACATATATAGACTGTTAAACACTATACCATGCCTGAGCGTCGCGCTTCACGCTCTTGCATTGCGCAGTCGGGTAAAAAGAAGAAGAAAGTAGTTGTTATTACTAAGTTTAAGTTTGATGCGATACTATTAATTTTTTATTTTTCTTGAATGAATAAAGCTTTAATAAATTAACTTATTTAATTATAATAGAAAGTGAACTTACGCGTGATGCACAATATGAGCGCACGGTAAAGCCGCCAGCGGTTCAGCCGCCTCCGCCAGCGGTTCCCTGCAGCGGGCGCACGTCGGCGCTGCCCACGTGGACGCTGACCTTTTTAACTTGGAAGCAGCATTGTTGTCCCCCAAAGCTGTGTATATGTCCGCCAAGCGCAAACGCACGCGTCGCACTAGCATCTTAAAAAGTTATGACAGTGTTGTGTTTCGGAAGAGAAGTGAATAATAATAATAATAATATAATAATAATCTTTATTTGTTCTTTCACAATCTACAAATTACATGACAACTTATTATACTATAATTTTATATCAGAACAATAAAATATTGTAAATGTTCACTTGTCTCAAATAAAATCATTAAATTCTTTCATTTTCATTCAAACTGAGACGTCGAGTCTCTGTTTGAATACAACAGGGAAAACAAAACAACCGAGTCGTACTGTTTTTTTTGTTGTGAAGCTTTAAAATTTTGGTAGATCATGAACTATACTAACTAAATTCCGTAAACCAGAACCACGTTAGGATGCTAGGATAGTAACATAATAACAAGCAAACTACTACCACGTTAGGACGCCAGGTGTTCAAACACCACGTTTGGGCGCCAGTTTAACTAACACCACTTACAGCCACTACGTTTCGGTTCTAGTAAAAATAATAAGTACTTACTACGTTTGTGCACCAGTAAAAGTTAGATTACGTTTTGGTGTCAGTTAAATTATTATCATGTTATGGCGTCGTTTAAACTACCACCATGTTTTTGCGCCGGGTAAAGTAACTAGCAAAAAGTTAAGGTGCCAAGTAAATTAAACTATCTCTATGCTTGGACGCCAAGTAAACTTTTATCATATTTGTGCGTCAAGGAAACTAACACCATGTTTGGGGGCCAGGTAAACTAATACCACGTTTGGGGGGCAGATAATTTTACATCACGTTTGGGCGCCAGGTAAACTAACCACGTCTGGGGGCCAATCGCCTAACGGAAATGCTTTGGGAAACGCTAACGCTTACGATTTTATATTGTTATTTCTAGCCGCCTGAGGTTTTCGAATACCTCACGCTAATTTTTTTTTATATTGTTATTACCAATGCAAAAGAAAAAGAAAGAGCGCGAGGCATTTGAATACCTCAGGCGGCTAGAAATAACAAAATAAAATTGTAAGCGTTAGCGTTTTTCAAAGCATTTCCGTTAGGCGATTGGCCCCCTGGACGCCGGCTAAAGTAACGTCACATTTGGGCGCCAGCAAACATACACACATAAAAAAAAGTTTGCGATCACTTTGAAAAATAGATTGTTTTTTGTGTTACAGAAGACTTTTTTGTAATTTCTTTTTCTGATAAGATTCTAAATTTTAAAATTAGAATTAGAACGTAAAACAATAAAATAATTCAATTGTTTTTCCATATAAAAAGACATGCAATCCAAGCTAACACTCATTCAGAAATCTGACTTAGTCAATATTATCGAATTTAAAATATTGTTTACGGAAAGTTGTGATTTAAAAAATCAGATGTTTTACAAGCCAGAATTGTAACTTTGAGGGAAGAAGGCTATTCTACGAGAGAAATAGCACGAAGACTTGCCATATCCCAATCCTGTGTAGTAACCACGTTGCAGAGGTACCACAGCATGCGTATATCGAGCTCAACGAGTCAATGCTGCTCTCCGAGAATACAAAATCACATGGTTAGTCTGGCCTGCCGGCTCTCCTGACTTAAACCCAATAGAGCACGCGTGGGATGCTCTTAAGCGAGCTGTTTGGAACCAGCAGCCACCACCTCAGATAGTACCGCAGCTCAGGGAAGTTGCTGTTCAAGAATGGGACAGGTTACCACAAGAAATACTACATTAGTTGATCCTCAGCATGCCCAGGAGGATCTCCGCATGCGTTCGAGCCAGAGGAGGAGTTATTTTGTACTAAATAAACAATAATTTATCAATAAAAGGTTTTTAAGTTTGGTTAAACAATTTTTTAATTTCTATAAAAGTTCTATTACAATCGCCTAAGGATTGATTTTTTTTTTAAATAAAGTTAGTTTTATTTTTTATTTAATGAAAGAAAGTGTATTTTTAAATAAAAAAAGATATAACGTAAAATTTTCTCCTGATTAAGTTAAATTTTGAAAATATATCAGCTTTTGCAAGTGATCTCAAACTTTTTTTGATGTTTGCTTGTTCATTTTGCTATAGTCAAACTTAAGCTGGGACAGAAAAGTTTATTTTATTATATCAGTGCTCAATCCAGTCCAAGGTATTGAAACTATTTGTACGGGTAGTTACTAGTTGTACCTATTACCTTAGATCCGACGGAAGTGGCGACCTCTAGTAATCGCGTGTTGAACTCTAGAGGTCTACAGTTGCATATACGACCCTGCAGTCTTAGAGCTTCAAGACATCTCGCAGCGCCGTCCATTGCTTCCATCTGAGCTAGACGATCGCCTAGTGCTTGGCCCGCACCCATTGCCACTTCATAGTGTCTGAGATAAGATTGAAGAAAAAAAAATACTAGAAAAAAGCCACGTGGCCCAGGCAGCAGACGATTTTATCTAGTATTTCTTAAGCTGCAAGGCAGTGTCAACTCTTCGCATTGTATTTAAACATCTAGCAGTTAAATGCTTTAAAATAAAAAATATACTAAGATTTTATAATTATATTTTTTTCGTTTGATTATTGTTGTTTTTAGATCTAAGTCATTCATTGTAAAACTGACTCCATTTGTTCTTTTGCAGATTTATTATGACTTATTATTAAATTAATAACTTCTCCGACTCCAATTTTCTCTCATTTATTCACACCAATTTAAAAAAAAACTTCAAACGAAAGGTTCTTGCATGACATGACATTTATGACATTTTTAATTGACGTCTTAAAAGGATTGCCAGATCAGGTTTTTCCGGTGTGACCAGATTATTGACTCTGCAAAGTTATCGACTTTACATCCATCATCGTCGTCCATAAAGGCAGTAACATTTTCACATGTTAGCAAACATTTAAAAATTACAATAAAAAAACTTTGGTGGCCAATATTATTGGAATAGTCATCATAAGGCGAAGAGAGAAATTAGATGAGTTCTCTCTTTATTTCACTATTCGAAAACCGCTGTCTTTTTAAGGTAGTGGCAACGATAATAAATACCCTAGATACACCACGTGCGCTCAAAATGTGTCCCAATCAAGAAGTGCTTGAACACTACTCAAGCACTTCATGGACCGTTGATCCGTGAAGATGCCGCCGAGCTCCGTGAAAAAATGCGAAAATAATATTTATAGTACGTAAAGTGTCCTTATTCGAGAGCTACCTGATTAATATTTGCTAATTTAACGCATTAGAAGCAAATTTTGTTCTAATACTTACTATAAACTGATTTAATAGAAAATATTGGTGATATTCAAATGCATTGTCGGTAAATAGCCGTCTCTTTTCCTCGCGGTTGGTACTGGCTGTATTGGTAACATTGCATTCAGAATTGCACATAGAGTCAAAGATATAAATTCTTCCGCATATAGCAATAAGTCGTAAAATTTTACGAGCTTGCATTTCGAAATAACTCTTTGATGCTTGCGTTTTAACAAAGACCTTATACAGTATGCATTACAGATGACTTTCAATGTTCAAAAAATGCCTTATATTGATTTTGACTACGCGATCATCTTGCGGAGCTCCGTGGATCCTCCAATGTACCTTTTGGACAGGTTTCGGCCACTATATTGTTCGTGTTGGTGTATTTAGGGTATTTAATATCGTTGGGTAGTGGCATCAATGACCGATAAGAACCAATGATCGTAATGTTTTTCTGTGACCAATTAAAAGAAGTGTAGGTAATCTATTAATAAATATGCTAACTCCTGACGTCTACAACTCTATGTTTCCATATTTAGTAATCGGTTAAATACTCTTATTTTCATTGCTCACAGAATAAAATGTCCATCATTGGTTCATGTCGGTCATCAGTGCCACTACATGCCTACTAGTTTTATGTGAAATCTTACCTAAGCGCCTTCCCGATGTCACATTTCCTCCGATACACGTCGCCTGCGATCCGCACCGCTCTAGCGTAACAACCTTGATCTCCAGCCACTGCTGCCAGTCGCAGTGATTCCTGAACGGAGATAAGTTCAGGTATTATAAATAATTAAGGCACTGCCGGATTTAGGGGAGGGCAACCGGGGCGAAAGCCCCGGGGCCTCCACAAACGGGGGGCCCCCACAATAGAGACTTCGGAAAAAAAAAAATTCAAATTCCAACTAGTAAACACTAGTAAACATCTTTTCTTTTGATATTTTTTTCCGAAAGGGCCGAATTTAAGGTGTGGCTGTGGCCCAGGGGCCTCCACAGCTTAAGAAATAACAACATTTCGATGGGTCAATAAGCATACAAATCCTAAGTGGCCCGGGGCCTCCACAATCCTAAATCCGGCCCTGAATTAAGGGAAGAGGTAGGGCAAAGTCTGAAGAACTGAACGGTATCGTGGATGTGCTAATTGTGTTGGCGCCATGGATTTTAGTATTAATAATTTAATTATTTCGCGTGTAGTACATCTTTTTCTTCCCATCCTTCCCTCTTGCTCTGGCACGCTATGCCGCGACCAAGAATAAGGGATAGCATCATCGGCGAAGACGAAGTCTCTCTCGCGAACCGAGCTAGCTATCGCAACGAATAAACTTCTCCCGAGCCGAAAAATCGTGCAAATCGCTTCAAGTTCTAATTACCTAACATAAAGGGAACTAACTACTGTTTATAAGTGCATTGATTGTGTGTGTAACTATAAAGCAAAGTTTTCAAGTGCGTACTAAGACAAAGGGGAACGAACCACTAGCCCATTCCCGACGCCCTGAACAGGGCCACTAAAAACCAGACAATACACCAGCACTGGTCACCCAACACGCAATCTGAGGACCGTGGTCCCCCCATTGCGTGCCGGGAGTGCGGGTTAGCCATGGGTAGGACTGCCATCCGTCCGGGTTTCCCCGGATTTGTTCTAGTTTACGGGGCGTCCGGGGAGCGTCCGGGCGGGGTTTTATTTGTATTCCGGGTTTAAAAATTTACGGCAACGCATGAGTGGGCCTTGGTGCTGCAAGTGTCCATGGGCAGCAGTGACCACTTATTATGAGGTAGACTGCTAGCTCTTTTGCCTAGATCAACATAAAAAAGTTAATTTGTGATATTTTTAACTATTTTTTATTGGTCTGTCCGGGTTCTGGGCTCCAAAATCCGGGGTTATCACGCGTTTTATCCTGGTTGCCACATTTTAGAGATGGCAGCCCTAGCCATGGGATACGCAACTAGGGATGTCGAAAGTTGAAATAAATATCGTTTTTGATACGAATTTCGATATTGATTATTTTGTATCGATGTATCGATATATCGAATCAAAATATATCGCCGAAAAATATCGATATATCGAACAAAAAATATCGATATATCGATATATTTTCAACAAGCCTATACGCAACGCAACGCGGCCCCGCCAGTGATTGTCTGTTGCCGAACCCACCCCGGCGTGTGGTTCCCCGGAGTATCAGGGCCACCACACATCTCAGGAACCGTGCAATGTGACTGGACGCCCCACACGTCTAGCCACTGGTTCCCGGAGGAGCGGGAGGGGGAGCGTAGTTCTCCCCGTCCCTCTCCCCTCGCCGTCGATGCAGGGGCAGGCACCCCCTCTCCCGGCACGATCTACATAACCTAGAAGATTCAGTCTTCTCACAATACAATAAAAAATGAATGCGTGTAACTTATGTACGCGCGTGAGATGTTATACTTCTTTAGCATCATTAAAAATATTTTTTAATTGCATGCAAATAATTAATAATTACAATAAAATAATAAAAGGACTGGAAAAGGATAGTTAACACAGTCAATTAAGTTCAGTTTTAATTTGAAAAATTAAATAAATATTCAAAATATTCAATTAAAATCACTACTGAATTTAAATTATTAGTCCATATGTAATTAGCACTTGTAAGTAACTAAAACACGTTGTGTCTATATAGAAACTAGAAACATGTGGATAAATATTATAAATATGAAAACAGTGATCAGAGGCGACGAGCGTGCCAACATTGTTTTTGACAACGCGATCATCTTATGGAGCTCCGTGGATCGTTCAAAGTACCTTTCGAACAGATGCCTAATAATGGGGGATTATTAACCACTTAGTGGTTAACCACTTAGTGGTTAATAATCCACCATTATTAGACACTAACATTCATAACGCGCCCGCGGCCAACTTCATGGTGTTACTATTGTGTTACAGTGATGCGCGCGCATCTCGAAATTTCACTCACATGATTTTTTCCAAACGCGCCCGCGGCCAACTTCATGCTGTTACTTTTGGGTTACAGTGATGCGCGCGCATCTAAAAATTTCACTCTCATCATTTTTTCATAACGCGCCTAAAGAAGTATAACTTCAATATTAATACAATATACACTACAATAATAGTAATAATCTTGTGGAACTTCCCCTTTTGCCCGTAAAGCTGCATCTGTAGAAACGCTGTGCGATGGTGGCGGCATCTTTTTTATTGCTTTTCTGCCTAAGTAGTTTATTTACCTAAATGAAAAAAAAACTAACTTTACAGAAATGATGTGAATCTCCTAGTTCCCCTCTTGCTCTCAAAGCTGCTGCCATCTGTCACGCCACGTATTGAGATCGTCTTTCTATCATCCTCTACCAATTTTACTATTTTGACCGCCTTCTCTTCGATTTTTTATTTTTAACCTAAATGTATTAATTATTAAAACACTGACGTTAGAGTAATCATGTGCATCCCCCAGCTCTCCTCTTGCTCTCAAAGCTGCTGCCATCTGTAGTAACGCTGTGCGATGGTGCCTCGTCTTCAGGTCGGCTGCTCGCACTCCACTCCCCAAATCGTAGGCGCGAAGGGAGTAAGTGACCACTTTTTATCCCTTTTCTGACGATATTAAATAGTTTTTAACCTAAAAGTATTAGAAGACTCACGTTACAGTAATCTTATGCATCTCCCACCTCTCCTCTTGCCCTCAAAGCCGCTGCCATCTGTAGTAACACTGTGCGATGGTGCCTCGTCTTCAGGTCGGCCGCTCGCGCTTCTCTGCTCAAAACGCAGGCGCAAAGGGAGTAAGTGACCACTTTTTATCCCTTTTCTGACGATATTAAATAGTTTTTAACCTAAAAGTATTAGAAGACTCACGTTACAGTAATCTTATGCATCTCCCACCTCTCCTCTTGCCCTCAAAGCCGCTGCCATCTGTAGTAACACTGTGCGATGGTGCCTCGTCTTCAGGTCGGCCGCTCGCGCTTCTCTGCTCAAAACGCAGGCGCAAAGGGAGTAAGTGACCACTTTTTATCCCTTTTCTGACGATATTAAATAGTTTTTAACCTAAAAGTATTAGAAGACTCACGTTACAGTAATCATGTGCATCTCCCAGCTCTCCTCTTGCCCTCAAAGCTGCTGCCATTTGTAGTAACGCTGTGCGATGGTGCCTCGTCTTCAGGTCGGCCGCTCGCGCTTCTCTGCTCAAAACGCAGGCGCAAAGGGAGTAAGTGACCACTTTTTATCCCTTTTCTGACGATATTAAATAGTTTTTAACCTAAAAGTATTAGAAGACTCACGTTACAGTAATCATGTGCATCTCCCAGCTCTCCTCTTGCCCTCAAAGCTGCTGCCATTTGTAGTAACGCTGTGCGATGGTGCCTCGTCTTCAGGTCGACTGCTGCCGCTCCTCTGTCCAAAACGTAGGCGCGAAGGGAGTAAGTGACCACTTTTTATCCCTTTTCTGACGATATTAAATAGTTTTTAACCTAAAAGTATTAGAAGACTCACGTTACAGTAATCATGTGCATCTCCCAGCTCTCCTCTTGCCCTCAAAGCTGCTGCCATTTGTAGTAACGCTGTGCGATGGTGCCTCGTCTTCAGGTCGGCCGCTCGCGCTTCTCTGCTCAAAACGCAGGCGCAAAGGGAGTAAGTGACCACTTTTTATCCCTTTTCTGACGATATTAAATAGTTTTTAACCTAAAAGTATTAGAAGACTCACGTTACAGTAATCATGTGCATCTCCCAGCTCTCCTCTTGCCCTCAAAGCTGCTGCCATTTGTAGTAACGCTGTGCGATGGTGCCTCGTCTTCAGGTCGACTGCTGCCGCTCCTCTGTCCAAAACGTAGGCGCGAAGGGAGTAAGTGACCACTTTTTATCCCTTTTCTGACGATATTAAATAGTTTTTAACCTAAAAGTATTAGAAGACTCACGTTACAGTAATCATGTGCATCTCCCAGCTCTCCTCTTGCCCTCAAAGCTGCTGCCATTTGTAGTAACGCTGTGCGATGGTGCCTCGTATTGAGGTCGGCTGCGCGCGGCCCTCTGCCTAAGTCGCAGGCGCGGGCGGCGCAAGCAACCGCTCTTTCGCAGTCGCGTAAACGACGCCATAACTCTGATAGACCTACGTATACCTGCGTGAGAGTTTAGGAATCAGTGATGTTAATAAATCAAAAGCGTTCGAAGTATTGACAAATATTTTTAATGATTTCTACTAGATGTTTCAACGCTATATTGTTCTGCTGCTATTTTTATAATCATATTCAATGAAACAGATCACTTAAAGCACTCGGCTAAAGAAAACAATAGGGATGATGACTATTTTTTTTTTCTTCGTTTATCAGGTAGATTATTAAAAAGTATTGGACACGTATTTTTTCTTTTTCCACATAATATAAACTTTGCAGAGATATATTGATTTGAAAAGTCGCATTACGCCACGTTTGAGTGCACTTATAAGTGAAAATTCACTCAAAAGTGACGTCACGAGCCCCTACTCCCAAACTTTGACGCGCTATAACTTTGTAATTTTTTGGTTGATTGACCAAAGAAAAAATATGTGTTCATTATTTTTTGATCATCTAACTGACGTACTAAATAGAATTTCGTTTACTGTACCCCGTCATCGGCCCTATTGGAGAGCTGGTGAGATGGCTAATTTAAAATTAATCTGGCCATAAATACATTAAAACTTTTCTTTTTTTTTCAACTTTTTAATTATTTTGAATTTGGAACACGTATATTATTTTAAAAACTTCTTTCGATTTTGCGTCATTTCACATATTTTTTCGTTTTCGTTATCAAATTATAATATGGAATGTGGTGTTAAAGAAAATAGGATTGCAGTGATCGCCCTGCACAAAGTGGGTATGGAGCCGTCGTCGGACATATTCCAGACACTTCGAAAGCTTTGGTATCAGCCGTATGTTCTTATATCGTACTATCAACAGATACAAGACATTAATAGGGACAAAACGTACTTTTAAGCAATCCATTGTAAAGCTCCTAACTAATGAATGATCGGGGAAAGTGCATTGTATTGATTAAGCATATTTGGCTAAATAATGAGACACGTAAGGGGTTCGTACTTATGTATATTTTATTGCTTCGTTATATGATAATAAACATTGTATTCATGTTGTTTTATAAACATGTCGTGGGATATCTTAATTAATTAACATAAAGATAGAAATGAAACTATTGTTGCAAATATCTTTGAATGAACTTTAAAGATAGACTCAAAAATGTTACACAAATAAATATGTTACCAGGAATACTGTTATTGGCATTAGTTTAAGAAAATATTACAAATGTAACTAGAAATAAGACAATGCTGTTGTTTTCCTGAAATAAATAAATAGACATCGACTGTCGAGGACCAGAAAATCTTAAAACCAGAATTTGTTGAAACCCCATTAGGAAGCAAATCTATACCTATCTAATCTATCGCAAGAAATGAAAATGCCCGCTAGGACTTCGACGCGTATTATAAAACAATAACTGAAGCTCGGTGCTTATTGTCGATATACAGGACATGCCCTAAAACAATCTTTACAATTAAAAAGAGTGGATCGATTAAAACGCCTTCTGTCGCGATACGCAGGTGAAAAGCACAGAAATATCCTTTTTACCGATGAAATAATGGTTACGCTTGAAGAAAACTACAATAAGCAAAATGATAAAGTGTACGCTCACAGTTCTAAAGAAGTTGCTCAAGTGGTCAAAGGTACAACGTGGTCATCATGCTGCGTCAGTGATGGTTTCGTGGGGCGTGTCTTATCAAGGAGTCACAAAACTACATTTTTGTGAAAAAGGAGTGAAAACTTCAGCCAAAGTGTATCAATATACAGACAGTCAATCGTTGTAGAAAGCGTTGCCGGTCGTTGGAAGGGTGACCGATCGACCGACCGGTCTACCGGCCAATCGACCAACCGCTCAACCGTACCGATCAACCGACATACCTACCGACTGACCGACCGATCGTCCCACAGACTGACTGAGATTCCTGTGCCTCCACATTAAGGACATATTGATATTACCTGCAGCAACAAAGTGTTATCGTTATGCACTTGCGCAGCCGCCAATGCCTTCTGGAAGCCGTCAATGGCTTTAGAGAAGGCGCCCAGCTCCAGGCTCACGCTGGCCACGGTGAGGTACATACATCCAGCCCGCGGTCGAGCCGCCGTCGCAATCTTTGTAGAGGGCGTGGCCGTTCGTTGGAAGGATGACCGACCGATCGAACGACTGACCGATCAATCGCCCAACCAATCAATCGGTCAAACGACAAACCTACCGACCGACCGAACGATCGACCGACCGACCGACTGACTGAGATTCCTGTGCCTCAGCATTAGGGACATATAATATTACCTGCAGCAACAAAGTATTATCGTTATACACTTGCACAGCCGCCAATGCCTACTGGAAGCCGTCCATGACTTGTAAGAAGGCGCCCAGCTCCAGGCTCACGCTGATCATGGTGAGGTACATCCAGCCCGCGGTCCAGTCGCCGTCACAATCGTTGTAGAAAGCGTTGCCGGTCATTGAATTGGTGACCGACCGATCGAACGACCGAGCAACCAATCAACCGACCTACCGACCTACCGACCGACCGACCGACTGAGATTCCTGTGCCTCAGCATTAGGGACATATTGATATTACCTGCAGCAACAAAGTGTTATCGTTATGCACTTGCGCAGCCGCCAATGCCTTCTGGAAGCCGTCCATTGCTTTAGAGAAGGCGCCCAGCTCCAGGCTCACGCTGGCCACGGTGAGGTGCACGCAGCCCGCGGTCGAACCGCCGCCGCAGTCATTGTAGAGAGCGTGGCGGGCGTAGGAGAGTGCTCTGATATAAATTATTATTATGGAAATAGTTAATGTTTGGAATGGGCGATACAGGGTTAATTTTAAAACACCAACAACCTCTTAGGGGGTGATTCTACCCATCAACAGGAACTACTTTTATTATGGGACCAACTCTGAAATCGCGAAACAAAATTTAGCTGTTTCATACATTTCGGTCGATTAGCTGATGCACTTTTGTATGAAACAGCATAAGATTTCTTTTCGCGATTTTGAAGTTGGTCCCGTAATAAAAATTGTTCCTGTTGATGGGTAGAATCACCCCCTAAGATGTTGATGGTGTTTTAAAATTAACCCTGTATAACGGTAAGGAGAGGCTGGTTCGCTGAGGTTCAGCAAAAATATCGATATTCAATAATAACGTGTTATATTTACAAGAGATAAAAGTGCCAAGTAAAGACAAAACAAAAGATCAGTAAGAAATATATAAAATACTAGCTGAACCAGCGGACTTCGCACCGCCATAAAAATAGGGGCAGGTGGTAGAAGAGAAAATTTAGGGTAGTATGTATTTTTTAATACCACATTATAAAAAAATATAGTAACCAAAAACAATTTTAGGGGTGTGTAACGTAGTGTTCTATCAATTTCCTGGGATAACATTCCTCCTAACCCATATGAGAACACTACGTTACAATACCCAATAGTTTGAATTTTGGCGCGAAGGCGCATTGTAGTTAGTAGCGCAGAACACTACGTTACAGGTGGACAACCATTATCACTTAAGGATATGGAAAATAGATAGTAGTCGATTCTCAGACCCACGGAATATGCATATAAAATTTCATAAAAATCGGTCAGGCCGTTTCGGAGGAGTATGGTAACTAACATTGTGACACGAGAATCTCTTATCTATTAGACAAGTCCGTCCGTCCGTCCGTCTGTCTGTGGTGCTGTTTCAGCGGCCAAACCGTAAGAGATAGATAAAGAGAATATTTAAGTTATAAGTTAAGAATAGTCTGATAAGACTACAAACCGGATTTGAGTAACGTAGCACTTCCGGTTTTCGAGAAATCACGAATTTCAAACGAAACCACACAAAATCTCCGAAGTTCTCAATTAATTAAATACATTTTTTTTTAAAATCAGGTTTTGGTGAACATTTGGTTCACTGGTTTGCTAGTTTTGTATATAAGATGACACTGACAGGGAAATCAATGAAAGATCCTTTAAAGGGCATGTTTTAATAAGTACCTATCTTACAATAATTAGCTTGTAGACATCGTTAGACAACATTTTAGGTGAAAAGATCGAAGAAGCGCGCTACCGCCCTAACAGATGCGACATTGCGGTGTATTTTTCAGCGATAAATGAAGTTTAAAGTTATTTATTTACACTGAAAGTGCGACAATGCCGGCAGCTACCATTCCGGTGTAAATCGGCCCTTATAAATAAGGTGTGGAAAAAAAAGTTAAGTTGATTTTGACAAGTTTTGTGAGGGCTTTACTTTAAAAAGGTATAGGGAACCGGCAGAGCCATCTATTAGAGGACCATGGCCATATGAGGCCATACTTTGGCTTTATCAAGGACTCCTGCGCGTACTAGATGATGGCGCTGTTCGCCACAGTAAGATCGTCTCTGTATATTTTTGAGTTTTAAAAATACTAAACCAAGGATTATTGAAGTGAAGTGTGATAAATATGAAGATCCTATACTAGATCACCAGTACCAGTGTTTTCCTAAACATTTTTTCCCAAATTGTGCTTTAATTATTCAAAACCAAAACTGGATGTTTATATCTCAAAATCTTAGAAATCTTATTATAATAGTTGCTGAAATAACCGAGAAGATTGTGGTATAAATAAATCGCAAGTAAGTGGAAGTGACTGACATCTTTTGTTTACTTTAATGTGCAAAACATTTCTGTGTTAATAAGGAGACAGTTTGTTTAATTCAAAAAATACATTGCTTACAATTTGCCTAGCTTATTGGATTTGAGATAAGGTTGCTTTTGCTTTGATAAGGCTTAGTCGATAAAACAGTTTTGTAAATACAAAAAGTCCACTCTTAACAGCACTAAAGAATTGATTACCATTAGAGTGACCAGATGGCGCTGATCTGTATAAAGTGCAATGAAGCGATTGTTAATAAACAATTTTTGGTGTGCATTTCATGTGAAAAGAAATATCATTTAGATTGCGCTAATGTGTCATTCCAGCGTTTTCGTATAATGACACCAGCTAACAAAAAGGCTTTTAAGTGTGATATTTGCTCTACTGCCTCAAATAGTAATAATAAACAGTCAGTACACAGTGAATCTTCTTTTGAAAATGATCACATAACAATACGTAAAAAGAACACACAAATCACTTGTTCACAACAATTATCTCAACAACTCTCTGATGAAGAAGAAACCGATTATTCTTCAATAACTTCAACGCCAAAATATGAATTAAATAGAAGTTTTACAAAATTGATTTCGAATTGTAATAGTGAAATAGAAAAACTTAAACAAAAAGTGCTGAATCTGGAGAAAAATCTACAAATAGCAGAGAGTGAAATAACAAATTTAGCTTCTGAAAATCATATATTAAACAATCGAATTGCGGACTATGAGTCACAGTTTAGACAATTGACACATAATAAATCAACACCGCTAAAAAGATCGGCAAGAAAAAGACTAAGAAATGAAGATTTAAATCATTCTAATATCGCTGTTAGTAATATTGTCGCAAAACAGATTGAGGTATCATCGATAGATGGCGCAAAAATGAACATTCTCAATGGAACCGTATCCGACATCATTGCGCCATCATACAAACAGGTACTTAATGTCTCCGTCCAACTACAACAAGAAAGGTCGATAGATGCCGCTGACACAATAACTCAAGATAAAAACAATCATATTTTTATTGTTGGTGATGAACAGCTGCGGGGACTGTCTTTATCATTAACAAAATCGAGGTGCAGAAAATGGAATGATATTTATAAATCTTTTTCTTATATCATGTCTGGAGCAACAAGTTCAGAAATATTACAGAGTTGTGATAGTGACGGTTCAATTTTGAATAATTTGCAAGAAAATGACATTGTTATTATTGGTATTGGTAGTCATGATAGTGATATTTTTAAATTACATTCTAACATTTGTATTTTACTTAACAAATTGCGTAAGGCGACTGTTCTTTTAGTGCCTATTTTAGAGAACCCTTACTTTAACGAAATTACACTAAATTACAATTTAAAACTATGGACTAAGCATTTTATGAATGTAAAATATATTGATATTGCTGTGAATTCATATGATTGTTATAATAATATTAAAAATGTATGTGCTAAAATTAATATATGTATAGATTATATTCAGTATAAAAAACAATTTTTAAACTATGAAAACATAAGAAAATATATAACAAAAAATCACTGTAATAAAAATAAACCTATCATAACAATACCCAAAAAGGGTACTATACCTTTTTACTTTCAGAAAATTCCGATCACTAATACCAAGCAGAATCATTTTACTATGTCTAGCTTAAGTACAAGTCAGGATACATCAGGTTTAAATAAAATTGTTAATAGTCCAGAATCTATGAAGTTTTTTCGAACCTAAAACATATGATTCCAAACTTAGAATATTACACCAAAATATACAGAGTTTTTCAAAGAAGAAAGATGTATTTGAAATTGTATTGACAGAACTGCATTGTAAAAACATAGGTCCTGATGTTATATGTTTGAGCGAAACCTTTATACAAGAAGGACGTGAGAGTGATGTTAGACTGCATGGGTATGATCTTGCTGCCTCATACTGTAGAAAAAACAGGCAAAAAAGGGGTGGTGTATGTATCTGTATTAAAAAGGGTCTAAGCTATAGAGTCCTCACAGAAGTGAATAATAAAAGTCAGGATTATTATCTTGAATGCTGTGGCATACACCTTGATAGCTATAACATAAAAATTATTTGCATTTATAGAGTTCCGAAAATGAATAAATATGACCTAGATTTCTTCTTTAAAAAGCTTGAAGACTTGTTTTACACTATTTTAAAAATAAACACTAATAATAAGTACGTCATATTGGGTGATTTTAATATTAATATGATGGATAATAATAAATACACTCAACAATTTCTTGATCTTATAAAAAACTTTAATTTAACATTACATGTCAAACAAGCTACTAGATTAAACTCTTGTATAGATTTGATCTTTAGCAATGTCAGTGATGCTTTTGCTGAATTGTTACCCCTCTCTCTGTCAGATCACAATATGGCACAGATGTTGTATATTCCACTGGTTACAAAAAAACTACCGCCGTTAAAATATTTTATCTTTAAACGAGACTACAGTGATG